GCTAGTACTATTGCTGGAGTGTTGTCAGGGCTCATAACCTTTGCAATATCCCATGCCTTCAGCTTCTTCTTGATAGCAAGTGGAATTGGCCGAAGGTATCTGCGATGCTGAAGGCCTCAGGAGGAAGCTGAGATAGATCATCTGCTTGTCATTTGGCGGAAAATGGATGCAATGCTTTTGCCTTGTGTTTTGGACTGATGTGCTGGACTCCTCATTGTGAATGGAGATATTTGTGGAACTACTTCCCACTGTAAATAGTTCAAGGCCCACCACTATTTGCAACTGGATGTGGCAGAACTAAAGAGCTTAGATCTGATCTTCTGTTTATGGGATCACTTAACCTGTCTGTGACATGCTATTCGGCACGCATGTTTTGTAGCTTCACCAGGTTAAAATCTCAGTTTTATGTATAAACGGTGCTGCTGCTGGTATGCCCGATTGTATTCTTTATTGAATCAGGGTTTGTTCACAGCTTGGTGACATTGGTAAAATGGGTGATACAGCTGGCCATGAAGTTACAAATTGTGGTTGAGTACAGCTTTGCTGCTGCTGATGTCCTGTGGAACTTTACCTCCATCAGGACCGTGTGGTGGCCACTGCTCCCAACATAGGTAGGTTGTTGAGGCTCCTTTTGTTAACTTTGTATCATCCACAAACTTACTAATCATGCCTTGTACATTCACATTCAGATCATTTATGTAAATAACAAATAACAAAGATCCCAGCACCGACCCCGTGGCACACCACTAGTCACAGGCCTCCAATCCAAGAAACAACCTTCAACCATCACCCTCTGCTTCCTACCATTGAGCCAATTTTAAATCCAATTAGCTAACACTCCCTGGATCCCATGCGACCTAACTTTCGTGACTAGCCTGCCATGCGGGACCTTGTCAAAGGCCTTACTAAAGTTCATATATACAACATCCAATGCCCTACCCTCATCTATCTTCTTGGTTTCTTATAAGACCATTAGACAAAGGAGCAGAAATTAGGCCATTTGGCCTATCGAGTCTGCTCCACCATTCAATCATGGCTGATAAGTTCCTCAACCCCATTCTCCTGCTTTCTCCCCGTAACCCTTGATCCCCTTGATAATCAAGAACCTATCTATCTCAATAAATGTACTCAATGACCTGGCCTCCACAGCCTTCTGTGTCAGTGAATTCCATAGATTCACCACTCTCTGGCTGACGAAATTTCTCCTTATCTCCGTTCTAAAAGGTCTTCCCTTTACTCTAAGGCTGTGCCTTCGGGTCCTAGACTCTCCTACCAATGGAAGCATCTTCCCAACACCCACTCTGTCCAGGCCATTCAGTATTCTGAAAGTTTCAATTAGATCCCCCCTCATCTTTCTAAACTCCAATGAGTATAGTCCCAGAGCCCTCAAACGTTCCTCTTATGTTAAGCTTTCCATTCCTGGGACCATTCTCTTGAACCTCCTCTAAACCCACTCCAGGGCCAGCACATCCTTCCTGAGATATGAGGCCCAAAACTCTTTGAAAAACCTCTTTGAAAAACTCTAAAAGATTTGTTAGACATGACTTGCCACACACAAATCCATGATGATTATCCCTAATCAGACCTTGACTATCCAAATTTTGGTTGATCCTGTCCCTCAGTATCCTCTCCAATAATATGCCTACCACTGATATCAGGCTCACTGGCCTGTAGTTCCCTGGCTTGTCTTTGCTACGTTTCTTAAACAATGGAACTTGAGTGGCTAAAGATGAAGCCAAAATCTCTGCAAGGGCCTCTGCAATTTCTTCCCTAGCCTCCCACAACATCCAAGGATGGACTTGATCAGGCCCAGGGGATTTATCCACTTTAATTCACTTTAAAGCTGCAAACAACTCCTCTCTGCTAATGTGTGTATGGTCCAAAACATCCCACTTGTTTCCCTTATTTCCTTAGGATCCATGATTCTTTTCTCAGTAAACACTAATGAGAAATATTCATCAAAAACCTCCCCCATCTCCTGTGGCTCCACAGATAGACAGCCATGCTGATCTTTAAAGAGACTTATTCTCCCCCTAGCCACTGTTTTACTCTTAATATAGCTACAAAACCTCTTGGGATTAACTTGAACCTTATCTGCCAGATCCATCTCATGCCCTCTTTTTGCTCTTCTGATTTCCCTCATAAGTGTGCTCCTACACATTTTATATTAATCTAGTGATTCACTTGAGCCCAATAGCTTAAACCCAATGTATGCCGCCTTTTTCCCGACCAGAGCCTCAATGTCCCTCGTCAGCCTGGGATCCCTGAACTTGCCAGCTGTTCCTTTCACACTGACAGGGACATGCTGTCTCTGGACTCGCGATATTACCCATTTGCTGGTCGTTCCTTTTCCTTCAAACAGACTCATCGAATCGACCGCTGCTAGATCCTGCCTAATGGCTCCAAAAGTGCTCTCTGACTGATACTTAGTCACTTGCCTGACCTTATTTCCTAAGAGGAGGTCCAGTGTTGTATCTTCCCCAGTAGGGCCCTCTACATATTGATTTAGGAAACTTTCTTGGACACATTGACAAATTCCACCCCGTCCAGGTCTTTTACACTCTGGGTGGCCCAGGGTACAGGGTAGAGGCGGGCATGATAGCGTCATTTAAGATGTATCTAGACAGATACATGAATAGGCAGGGAGCAAAGGGATACAGATCCTTGGAAAATAGGCGACAGGTTTAGATGGAGGATCTGGATCGGCGCAGGCTTGGAGGGCCGAAGGGCCTGTTCCTGTGCTGTAATTTTCTTTGTTCTTTGTTCTTTGTTCTTTACTGTGCCCCTGGATATCTTGAATAGTAAACTTGCTCTCAATGGCTAATGTATTTTCCTCTGACTTCTCGATGCCCCCTCTCTTATTCAGAGTCCCCCTGCCAAACTAGTTTAAACTCTCCAGGGTAACACTAGCAAATCTCTCCATGAGGAAATTGGACCCTCTCCAGTTCAAGTGCAACCCGTCCCTCTTGTCCAGGTCACCTCTACCCCAGTAGAGATCCCAATGATCCAAGAACTGGAAACCCTGCCCCCTACACCAGCTCCTCAGCCACGCATTCATCTAGCCTATCTTGCATTCACTGGCACGTCGCACTGGGAGTAATCTGGAGATCACTACCCTTGAGGTCCTGTTTTTTAACATCTTACCTAACTCCCCATACTCATTGCACAGGACCCCATTCCTCTGTCTACCTATGTCATTTTTACCGATGAGCACAATGACTTCTGGCTGTTCACCCTCCCCCTTCAGAATGTTCTGCAACTGCTCAGAGACATCCTTGACCCTGGCACCCAGGAGGCAACACACCATCCTGGTGTCTCTTCTGCGGCCACAGAATCTCCTGTCTGTCTCCCTCACAACTGAGTCTCCTATCAGTATTGCTCTGTCTGACTGCACCCTGATTACAGGGATAAGGTAGGGGGATGGGTCTGGGTGATATGCTGTTTGGAGGGTTGGTGTGAACTCAATGGGCCGAATGGTCTGCTTCCGCACTGTAGGGATTCAATGAGTAAAATAATTTGTATGAGAATTTAGGAGATATGGTTAGTAAGTTTGCAGATGACACCAAGATTGGTGGTATAGTGAAATGTGAAGAAGATTATCTGGGATTGCAGGGAGATCTTGATCAACTAGGAATAACAGATGGAGTTTAATTTATATAAATGCAAGGTGTTGCATTTTGGTGGATCAAACAAGGGCGGGACTTGCGCAGTCACTGGTCGGGCCCTGGGGTGTGTTATAGAACAAAGGGATCTGTGTGTACAGGTTCATAGCTGCTTGAAAATGAAGTCACAGGTAGACAGAGTGGTGAAGAAGGCTTTCATCAGTAAGAGTATTGAGTATAGGAGTTGGGACGTCTTGTTGAAACTGTACAAGGCATTGGTGAAGCCACATTTAGAATACTGCATGCAATTCTGGTCGCCCTACTATAGAAAGGATATTATTAAACTAGAAAGAATGCAGAAAAGATTTACCAGGATGCTACCTGGACTGGAAGGTTTGAGTTATAAGGAGACGCCAGATAGACTGGGACTTTTATTCCCTGGACCGTAGGGGTGACTGTTTAGAGGTGTATAAAATCATGAGAGGCATAAGTTTAAGGTGAGGAGGGAGAGATAAAAAAAGAGTCCAGAGGGGCATTTGTTTTCACACAGAGGGTGATGAATGTCTGGAATGGGCTGTCAGAGGTAGTGGTGGAGGAGAGTACAATTTCATCATTTAAGAAGCATTTAGACAGGTACATGGATGGGATAGGTGTGGAGGGATCTGGAGCAAACGCAGGCAAACGAGACTAGTTTAAAGTTGTGAAAACTGGGAAGCATGGACAAGTTGGGCCGAAGGGCCTGTTTCCATGCTGTAGGCCTCTGGCCCAAGATGGATCTAGTGCTTTAGCCTTGTTTTTTGTACTGATGTGCTGGGCCTATTATTAGACTAGTCACTTGTCTAATGACATTACCATTACCGTGTCCCATGTGTGTCAAAGGTTGCATCAAAATGTTTAATATACCTTCTCAGAATTATTATAACATTAAATATGGGTTGCATTGATCAATAAAATAGCTCTAATTCATTTAAAGAGATTAGTTCTCCTGTAATACAGAAATACAAGAGTCTCCCACACAGAATCATGAAAATGTATGGCACAGAAGGTGGCCATTTGGCCCATGTCCATGTCAGCTGTAAAGACAGCCATCCAGCCTAAACCACTTTTTTGCTCTTAATTCATAGCTTTGCATACAACGCCACCAGTGTATATCCAAGTACTTTTTAAACGGAACAAATTATGGAACTTTGTGAATGTCAGTATTTATAGGATGTTTACAGCAGATTGTAATCACCATCATACTTTAAGGTATTGTGTGAATTTCTGATAGTATCAATACCTTATGAAATATTTCAGTAAATTTATTGTCTGTACTCAATCTGTATATTACCTCTGAGTTCACATGCATAAGATGTACATCTTGCACGTATTTCTATATTTAATTCTTTTGTTTTGCAGCATGGTGAAGGCATGTTTAACCGAGCAAAGTTGCTGAATATTGGCTACGTGGAAGTGCTGAAGGATGAAGAATATGACTGTTTTGTATTCAGCGATGTTGACTTAATTCCTATGGATGATAGAAACCTCTACCACTGCTATGACCAGCCTCGACATTTTGCCATTGCAATGGACAAATTTGGATTCAGGTGAGATCATATTTATTGTCACTGACAATGAAATATTGTCAATATTTGGCTTCTTCTGTAAATATTGCAGACGACAACTAATGGGACTCACTGCAATGTCAAACTTAATACCCAATAAGCTGCCCTGGACTGTTGGCAATGCTACAATGGATAATTAGAAACCTCTACAGTGTCATATTGTTAATCATCCATTTAGTGATACGGGACTGAGACTGGCTTCGTAACTTAATTTGCATGTCCTGGTTCATTCTTAATAGGACCATCTTGTGCAACACAATCATACAGCAGGTACACCAGTTAGTAGAGAGCAGTAAACCTGCATCTTATTGTTGCAGGTTACCAGTGAGATTTTAATACAATGTCTTGATCAGGTGTGGAGGAATCAAATGGCTTCCCTGTTTGTCCTCTCCTCATTTGACCACAACAGGTTTCTTTGTTTGTAGATGATATATTTGCCCAGTCAGTAAGTACGTCAAGGTGTAAACATTCTGATCTAGGGCTCTTATGGCACAGGGGTAGAATTCCTATCTTTTGAGCAATCAAGAGAGAATTGATGTATTAAAGATGACATTGAATGATTATTTGGATATAAATACACGCAAGGGGGTATTTGAGAAACAGGCAACTCGTACGAAGCAAGGATGCTCATTTGAAGAAGTGGTGCAGGAGAAATGGGCTGAATGGCCACCGTCTATACCATAACAGTTAAGTGATTCAGAGAGAAGGCCCAGTTCAAGTACCTGCTCTACAAAGTAAATTGACTTTAGTAGCAGGTGTCTGGTTCTCTGGTTTACTCTTGCATTACCCTTGAACATGAATGATCTGCATTGATTTGATATCCAGTCCTAAAGAATTAAATACAGAATTGGAAATAAGTGCATACGTCTTTCATATTTTAATAATGCATTTGGCCTGTCTCCCTTGGTGCAGCTTTGCAAAACAGTATACTTGCCAAAAATGCATTGAAGCATGTAAATTCAAAACATTGCAGTTAAAGCAGAAAGGATACAAGGGAGTATCTCACGAAAAATAACTGAGACCTGAGCATGATTACAGAATAAATATCAGCTAACCAGGAATTACCGTTGAATAAATAATAAGTAGTAAGTGTCTTAAGCATGGCACACTGGTTCCATCAGTAACTGGTGGTTTCGGATGATACAGCAAGTCAGAAACATTTCATATTTGGGAAAGGCAGTCAATGGCTGTGCACACAGATCTTTCTTAATACAAGCTACAACATGTAATGCATATCCAATCGTTGTTACATCTGGGTCTCCATGTTATATGTTGGTGTCCGGTGGCTTTAAGAAACTGACATGTAACAAGAAAAAAATATACGAGGGAAATTAGGTCACATAGGCCACCCATTACAAACTGAAGCCAGAAAATGCTAAAAGCACCTTCTGAGAAATGAGGTCTGCTGATTGTGCCCTGAAATTGTTAACATAACCTGACCAAGTAACCCACAATTGCTTTGACAAGGTCATTATAAAGAGAGCTGTACAGGAGAAGGAAACTAATTTCTCAATTTACAGTGTTTTTAGGGAATAAATTTAGCAAAGTAATTACATCTTGAGTTTATAAAGGCAGCACTTCTACAGAGTGCAGATATGACAAGAGCTTCACTGAGGCTGTGTTATAATAGAATCCCTTGTTCATTGGGGATTATTATTCAAATTAAGCCCTGGCCATAACCTGCCCATTGAAAAATTTAGTATTCCTGGCAGTAAATTTCCCTCCTGATAAAGAAATTGAATGTAAACCTTGCAGATGTTCCTGTCACAAGGAGTGCTGCATAATACAATTTCTTTGGGAAATTTAAAACCAACAGTTCAATCAATCAAATTTGTCCTGAGACTTGAGAATTTATATGTTATTAGTAGAAAGAAATAAAACTATGATTAAAATGTGGTAAGGGAATGGTTTACTGCACAATTGTGTTGTCACTCCTATTGTATAGGTAAAATGTCAAAATGTCATTTTGGTCAGTAATTTGTGCTCTGAAATTTAGCTGATTTGAGGAAAATTAATTTCATTTGAGGAGCATTAAACCTATGTGAATAAGTGTAATATTAGACTTCCCAGGACAGTGACTAAAACTAAAAGGAGGTGCCTTTGAACTTTTAACCTTATTACTGGATGACAATCCCCTTTCATTTGAAGGTTGGTGTTTGACAAAGTGACTTTTAAATTGTTAATAATCTCATAGACTGGTCTCCTAGTAAACAACACAAGCTCCCTTTCGGGTCCTTAACCAATGTTTTACACCCATCTGATTCCATCTGTAAAGATAATAACTCAGAGTGGCTCCTGTGCATTGGAGATGTGCCCCAGGCATGTTTTATTTCTTTTGAAAATAATTCCACTTGCACGTTTCCTTCATAGAATCCTGTATTTACCCAGTTGCATAAACCAAGGAATTCCTTGAATCCTGTCTTTTTTGTCATTGATACCAATTTGGTTAGATCCAGCAAGTCTTTTTATCCCCTCTCCCTTTGCAAGTTTTTTAACAAAGTTGGAGCAAACAGTTGGCAGAGAGAGAAAAGATAACTGAAAGTATGCTGATCACGGGGAAAGAAGTGGGCAAATGCTTCAGTCATTTAGTAATTCTGCAGTGTCGCTTCATGGCTGCCAAACAATTCCCCCATTATACCCCACTGTGAAGCACATTTCAATTCAAACAAGCTGTATATTAAAGGGCTTTTTTTTAGTGCCACTGAGTTAGTTGTTTTGGTACAAAAGCATCAGTCTCTTCTTAACGACAATTTATGCCTAGAATTTTGACTGTCAAGGTGAATAATTAAGAACTTCCTGAGTGCAGCTCTTTGTGACAAAGGGACACCAAACAAGGTGATTGCTTTAAATCTTTGACTGGAGTCCCTATTCTAAGGTGTCTGAAGCCCTGGTTTAATCATTCATGTGGCTGTACATGCTATCAGGGAAATCGTCAGGAAGTTTTGAGGCCATGATTACTGCTATAACAAAGGCTGAAATTACTGGAAACACTCTGAAAGTTAGGCAGGCCATGTAGAAAGAGAGTGTGTGTTCATGTTTCAAGTCTGTGATCTTTCAAATACAAAAAGATAGTAATGTAATAAGTTTGGAGTAAGTGGAAGAAGGAGCTAGGAAGATAAAAATGGAAGCTGTATGACCAGGTAGAGGGCAGTGGTAGAGGGTGTAGAGTGAAGGGTTAAATGTACCTTTCCTTTAACAGAAGCAACTGAGCATGTTTATAAGGAGCTATGCCATAGTGACATCAGATCACATGGAACTGGAGCCTGAATCTGTGTGGTTCCAAAAGATGGCCTCTCCTAAATCCACTTTATATAGTTATGTTTAATAACACCTATTAATGTTTGGAGGAGTATCTATAACATGGTAGCAACAGTGACCAGATCCACTAAACTGAAGGCAAAAGACAAGGAGTGCCTGAAGAGAAGCAGAGAGACAGCACATTCCTAAGGTGAAGGATGAGGCCATACCAGCAATCCAACCTGCCAAGTGGTGGAAAACTTGTACAGAAGCCTGTTAGTGACAAGAAACAGTAGGTGACTGATTTCAAGGCCCACTGAGGTAACAGAGTGAGAGGAAAAACCAACAGAGAGCTGAACAGCAAAGAATCAAATCTTTTCCAATGAGTTGCCAGGGTTTGGAAGGCTCTACAGATAAAAGAGATTCCATAAATAATTTCAAGAAGAAGTTGAACAAGTACTTGAGCACTAGAACCAAATGAAAAGCCAGCAGGTTTGAGGACCGAGCGATGTGAGGACGGCTAGCAGACTGGACGCTCGAGCTGAGCAGGGACGGCCAGCGGACTGGATGCTCGAGCTGAGCAGGGACGGCCAGTGGGCTGAAGGCTCGAGCGGAGCAGGCTGGTTGTTGGACTGGGGACTGGGGGTGCCAGCAGTCAGTGGCTTCTGAGCCCAGGTACTCTACATGTGGAAGACCCCCGCGTGGATCCACTGAAAGACTGTAATGTTTATCTTTTTAATTTTGTTCTCATTTTTCTATGAACAACTGTAAGTAATGTAACTTTTTTCCTTTCTTTTTCCCTTTATTTCTGTATTTTGTATCTAAAATCTGTACCTAAGTACTTCATACCTGAGATGGCACCGTATGGGGCAACATTGTAAACTTTTCACTGTATTCGTGTACTTCCATACTTGGGTACACGTGACAATAAAGGATATTCTATTCTGTTCTAAAAGCATGGTTCTATGACTCATCATAACTGTACTTTTAAAGAGACAGCAGCAAACTAAATACGGTCGTTTCTGATAGAACACGTGTTTCTTCAGTGCAAATTGGCTTTAACGCGATTGAAGAATTTAGACCACTACTTGTAAAATGCAAACTTTCCTTACCTGTATTGGCTATACTGCAATTCCAGCCCCATTAGTTTAAATGGTGCAGCTATTGCGCTATATTCTTATAATGCGAGATTGCATGAAAACAGAACTATTGCGTTACATCAGAACCCCCTGTAGCCATCTCTTGTATTGTAAGTTTCTATGATAAGCATCCTGCTCTTTTCCTTTGTTTTAACATTCTGCCTAATTAGAAACCCTTTGGCCAGGTTATCTGATAGATGTAAATTCACAACAGCCTTGAGCATTAATTTCTGTATGCCTCTAAGTATTGTCATACTTCCATTTTAAGCATATAGTTGTTGAGGTTGGTTGGCTCGCCGAGCTGTTTTGTTGTTCCGCAGATGTTT